GACAAGTGCAGAAACATTTATCATCCTGGCTTTGTCTGCCACGAATCGGAGACAATAACACAGAGTGTGAGTTCAATCTGAAACTGTCTAGTACTACACTGGTTGACCATGATCCCAACATAAGACCACACTTCCTTCCAATAATGAAGTCTCCTTTTATAATGTGCCCTGTAGAAGGTCAATGAATTTCTGCAATTCTGTAGTCTGGATTTTAGCAGATTCCCGCAGGCATGGTATTATGACACCAAAAAAAAACATTTTTTATATATATCCAAATCACACTATTTATAACTCAGGTTTTGCGCTCTTAGTGCCTCATTATTACATTTCACAGGGTTCTCCTCCTGTTTTTTGAGCAGCAATCCACACCAATTGCATCCACGCACGCCCTGCATCCCTGAGAGAGCGCTGTGTTTTTTTCTTTTTGTTGACACCAATCAAAAGCATTGCACATAGTAACTTCCTTGTAATTCAAATCAAAGGTTAACTGTTAGTAAACAGCTTTATAGTTAAAGATTTAACATAAGAACAAACTAAAACAAACATGTTTTGATGGTAGGAGTCTAGTGCTGTGTTTTTTTGCTTTATGGCTAATTATATTTTAAGGGCGCATTCTCCTGTTGAAGCTTTTTTGGCACGTGGACACACATTGCTTTGACTATAATTCTCAACGCATGTCCAAGGGCCTTCCTTTTTCCCCCCAGCATACTGCAGGGCATGCATGTGTTCTTTATTGCATGCATTGTGGGGCAGGTGTGCTTGTAATCTGTATTCTTTAAAAATAAATTGGAACACATATACCTTGCTGTACCGTGCATTAAACACACATAACAACACATGTAAATGTGAGCTACGGTGCTCATCGGCCAAGGATGCCAGACAGTGTAGCAAACAGGGGCATCCCTACAATTTTTGCACGTCATGAGGGGGCGAGTGGTGCACTGTACCTCTGTCCCTTGTCCCAACAAGCTCACTGACATCACTGGTTGCCAGGAGCTCCTGGCAAACAGTGACATCAGTGAGCTGGGCGGGATACCAGAAAGAGTGTCACAGGTTGCTAAGAGTTCCTCTGAGGGACGCCTCATTATAGGGACGGCCCTGGTAGCAAATAGTTTCTATTTCCTTTAGGCCTGTCATCACAGATGCAAGCCACTGCTTTGTTTACATTAGGTTGTCTGCAGTTTGATGTCGTCAGTGCTGTAAGCCATAAAGGATGATTTTTATGCATGTGATCAATGGAGATAATTAAACTGTGCACACATATATCTAAAAAAGCCCACCTCACGAAACTTAAAAAATGCAAACTGAAACTCCAGACATGTACCCCCACACCTCAGAGCGTGCACAGGATAAGTAATCAATGGCACTTCCTTTCAGGAATTATTAATACAAAAATAGCTATAAATGAAATGCAAGCTGTATTTTTCTAGTGGAGAATTGACAATTACACCTAAAGTATGATTGGTTGCTGCAGGAAACATCACTACTTTCCATTTGCTCTGTCCCTAATAAATATGAATCAGTCATTTTCCCTATTGTGAATACAGGCCGGCCACTATTTCTCCCTCAAAATGTTTTCAGGTATCAAGGATGGACAATACCAGCTTCTATCTCAAGAACCAAATGGTAATCACTGTGCACACTGCAAGTGAAAAAGATTAGCTTGGAGAAAAAAAAGAAGAGAGCCACAGTTAACTAATAATTCAATTATGCAACTATCACAAAATCCACAAAATGCCCAAAAATCCCCCATCAATCGGACAAATGGTCATATTAATCATGGAGTAAAGGAACCTAACCACAAAATGCTCATAATTCCCATGACAATTGGACAAATGGTCATATTAATCATGGAGTATAGGAACCTAACCACAAAATGCTCATAATTCCCATGACAATTGGACAAATGGTCATATAAATCATGGAGTATAGGATACTAACCATGAACTAGAACTGAAGCCAAAACTATTTTTATTTTTGGATAGCGTAAGAGAGGGTTTTTGCTCTATGTAGCCCATTGGGCAGATTTCCCTTCACTTCCTGTCTGAGAGCCACAACAGGAAGTGAGAGGAAATTTCTCCAAATGAGAAAAATCCCTCGCGCTCAGCAGGGTCACCAAAACTAGCCCCTATTGGAAGATGTCCCCATCTATTCCTGTTCTGATGACAACTCAAAATTTGGGATTTACTTTCACTTTCAATTATGATGATCACCGAGACAAATAGAGGGGGCAAATCTCCCAAACAGGGACACAGACAGCGCTGAAATCCTGACACTATCCAAAACTAAAAGAAAAAGTTTGGTCTTCAGTTGCACTTGAAGTCCACATGTCTTGCACAGGAAGGTACACAGTTAATAGATCACATTGTTAGATTTGTCCAGTTGGGACACAGAAGGATTTTGTTTACCTACAGGTTGGTCAGCCTGAAATGTGGGCTTACCTCAATACGTCATCTTGGAGGGAAAGCAAGTGTGCAGATAACTGCATGTTTTATTACCCTCAGTGCCCCATATTCCAGTTTACACTGAGGGGCTCTCATGCTCTCATCTCCGAGTAACAGGATTTCAGGTGCCCCCACACCAAACACCAGACACAGGCTTTTGTTTTGTTTTTTAAACATTTTTTATCATATCGCCATACATACAGCTCTAGGTTGGTAAAGGGTTCATTCACCTTTCAATACATTTCCCCGAAAATCCCCAATGCATTCCAGCATGCTCTGCAGATAACAAATTACTGTTTTAAAAAAAAATGCTCCATCTGTATGTCATACCTTAGAGCCGGAAAAATGGATGATCACCAGCACACAGATATTATCATTAAAATCTTAGTGTTTGTTTATTTGAAACACAGCGTCCCATGCGTCAAAAACCCAACGTTTCGGGACCACGCAGGGTCCCTTCATCAGGACGAAAGAATGGCAATGTTATAATGTGAGATATACATATATATACCCAGGGCCGGATTTCCCACAAGGCCAACCGAGGCCTGGCCTCGGGGCAGCAGGGAGTAGAGGGACAGCAGGGGTGTGGAACTCCTATCCCGATACCCAGGACATGCAGTTCCGGGCGTTGGGCGGGTAGTTGTTTTCTACATTTAGCCCTGCTTTGGACAAGCAGGGATAAATGTAGAGCGGGGAAGCCGCCACTCATTCTGTACAAGTAATAATAAAGTTACTAAATAAATAAAAATTAAAACCAACCCTGCCGCGCTGGGGGGAAGTTTGGCGGGGAGGGGGGCACATTAAGGAAGCTGGCCTTGGGGCAGCAGAGAGAGTAAATCCGGCCCTGTATATACCCTCAGAGCCATTACAGAAACTCATAGTGACGTCAGAGCCCGCCAAAATTCAAAAAACAGTGTACGCGTCCATAGACTTACCTTGCGCCTCTGCTCGTCTCCCGGCCGAGAATCGGAACTGCGCATGCACCCGCCCCAAGATCCTTTGCGGCCGTACGAGCAGTTCCTGATTCTCGGCGCGGGAGCGCGCAAAGTAAAAAAGGTACGTTTAAACCGCTGTTTTAGCGGTTTTTTTTTTACTGTTTGCCTATATCTACTGCTTGATAGCAGCAGATATAGGCAAAAAAACGGGAGGGTTTAGAACCCCTTTAAGGGCAGGGACTAATGAGAATGAATAGTGTGTTAAGTGCTGTGCAAATTGATGATAAATACATTTAATAAATAAATAAATGTGCTCATTAGTACCTTATAAAGAACTTGTAATAAACACACAAACTTACTGCACATAAGGATAATATAAAATGTAAGTACATTATTCAGTACATACATCTTGGCATGCACACAACCTAATAAAAACAGGACACTGTGCATTCATCTCAAGCCATGTTGTGCAGTGTATATTTTCTCATCAATGGTTTATAATAAGCCCGAACCCACACAAAGTTACTCAAAGTGTACTATAAAATAATGTCCATACAACTTGGCTTCTACACAACACAATAAATATGGGATACTGTGTATTCATCCCAAGCCATGTACATTGTGCAGTGTATGTATTTGCTCATCAGTGATTCATAATGAGTTTCTAATAAATACACACAAACTTATACAATGTGTATGATAAACAAAAGTGCATACAAATTGGCTTCTACACAACACAATAAATATGGGACACCATGCATTCAAACCGAGCCAGGTATATTGTGCAGCTTATATGCTCATCTGTGATTCATAATGAGCCTGTAATAAACACACAAACATATACAATGTGTAATATAAAATAGTGTCCATGCAACTTGTATTCTACACAACACAATACATATAGGACCCCATGCACTCATCCTAAGCCATGTTCATTGTACAGTGTGTGTGTTTGCTCATCAGTGATTCATAATGAGCTTGTAATACACACACACAAACTTATACATTGTGTGAGATAAAATAGTGTCCATACAACTTGGCTTCTACACAACCCAATAAATATGGGACCCCATGCATTCATCTCAGGTCATATACATAGCGCAGGGTATGCACTGTCTCCTCAATACTTTACAATGAACCTGTATTATACACACACACTTATACAAGATGTCATATAACACGGAGCCAGGTCCAATGCCACCCCAATAATAATCTGGTTTCTAGATGAAAGCTGCAATCACAGCACATTTCCTGCCTCTCGCAGGCCACTCATACTTTTCATTCTGCACCTTTAAGACACACCTTCCCGAAACTACTTTACACAATGCTCGCTGGGTCAATCCGAATAAGCGAATTGCGAAAACAATCGCATCAAAAGCCTGAGAGAGAGAACAGGTTCCACTGCTCCCCAGAGCAAGTTCAAAGCTGTGTGAGCACACCGAGCCCTGAGCACAGGGGCCCCATTCAGCCCAATGGATGACCCCCTAACCGGCGGAGCAGTGCATAGTCCCTGATCGGGAGTCACGTGTCCCCCGAACTGTCACTGCGATCACCTGTCCGCACAGCACTAAGGTCACCGCAACCCCGGTCAGCCTTGTATCCCAAATGGATTGCCACTTACCATTCTGAGGGGTGACACATTCCAATGCAGCGAGACATCCAAGTAATAAGAGTGCCCATGGTCCTGCCAAGCGCTCCATCCCGGGCAGTGTCAGGACTCAGCAATGCAGAGCGGGCATGACACGCCGGGGGCGCGGAGAGAGATATCCTGCTAGAGCGGGTACAGATCCCAGCACAAGGCACGTAATGTCAGCGTCCCGGGACACAGAACGGTATCTGACAGCACTTGTCTCCTCCACATTCCTCATTCACCAGAAAGTCACCCGGGACACGCCCACATCCTGCTTGATTGGCTGGGAGCCGTCAATGGCTTGTACTATGAGCCAAAGCACAGCTACCTACACCTGAGTGACGTCACCACCCGCGGGCAGAATGCATCGTAGCTGTCATGTTCGCTGCAGATCCCAAGGTTCTGTTCCTCGGCACGTTTAACCGATCTGTTCAATTCATTGCTTCATTTAAATGTGTACACTTCGCACACCAGATTCATTCTGACACTGTCCCTTCTCAGTTTTATTTTATGTAAGGTTACATTCATACTATGTGTGATTAGATGCAGTGGCAGACCTAATATGCCCCCCCACAGTTACACACTATTATTATACAGTTATATAGCTCTGACATATACCGCAGTGCTGTACAGAGAACACTGAGCCAATCACATCAATCTCTGTACAGAGGAGCTTACACTCTAATTTCCCCCCACAGTCATATCGGTCTCTGTACAGAAGAGCTTACACTCTAATGTCTCCCCACAGTCACATCGGCCTCTGTGCAGAAGAGTTTACACTCTAATGTCCCCCCACAGTCACATCAGTCTCTGTACCAGAGGAGCTTACACTCTAATGTCCCCCTTAGTCACACACTACTATGATACATTTATATAGCTCTGACATATACCGCAGTGCTGTACAGAGGACACTGAGCCAGTCACATCAGTCTCTGTACAGAGGAGCTTACACGCTAATGCAGAATGACACCAGCTGTGGAGGGACTACAAATCCCAACAATACATTATACAGCAATGCAGAAAAGTATATAAATTGGTGCACTGGACTCTGGACTCAGGGATGCGCTGGACTCAGGGATGCGCTGGACTCAGACGCACCGGACTCAGGGACGCACTGGACTCAGGGACGCACTGGACTCGGATGCTCTGGACTCAGGACTGCAATATTTCATCCAATAGACTATAGAGAAATAAGTTATAATAGGGAACATTACAGTGTAATGTTCTCTATTATAATCCATTTTTCTTATTAAACTAAATAACAGCACACAGTGTGCAGTTACACATGTGCCTCCCCCCCCTTCCAACTGTAACTTAACTTGTACACTGTAATGCTGCCAGAGCCCAAAACCATCGGCCACACTGTCTGAAGGGGCGGGGCATGTGACACACAGTGCCCGCACCAGGAGAGGGGTGATCCAGCAGTGTGTCCTGTATACCGCCTGCATTGTATTCAGGCAGATACATTGCAGGCGATATACGGGGCCCCGGCAGCGCTCCCAGCTAGGGCATTGGAAGTGGGAGGACAGCAGCAGCCGAGCAGACGGACAGCCCCACAGCCTCCGTGTTGCCCGGCCTGCCATATGCCACTGCAGCACAGTCCGCCCAGTGGGCCCCCCTAGCTGGCCGCCGAAACATATTGGCCGAAAATGGCACTTTTGACTAAATACCATTTTCTTGCCGATACATCGGCACATCCCAGGTTTCTCTCCTCCCCGCTGGGCGCTGCTCTGTGTCCCAGCAGGGAGGAGAGAAAGTGACAGCCGGCCGAGCGCTGCGAGAGGAGGGCTCTGTGAGCGACCGGTGTCTCTCCTCCCACACCGCTCGGCCGCCTATCACAGTGCGGCAGAGCGGTGTGGGGGCGGAGACAGCGCTGTCACAGGTGGCTGGGCTCTCCTCTTGCACCGCTCACTCAGCCTCCTGTAACAGTGTGCATCAGAGAGGAGAGCAGGCTACATACACTCAGTGATCAGTGATCGCTGAGTGTTTGTAGATAATTGAGGATATGGTATGGTTAATATATCCTCAATTATGAATGAATGGGATCTATATCACCTCCTGTTCATTCATAGTTGTAGTTATAGTAAACATACTCTGTCCTCATGTTATGAATGAACAGGAACACTCAGTATAGAGGATTCCAGTTCATTGATAACAGGGGACACAGAAAAAGAGATTGAGGACTCTGTGTCCTCAATCTCTTTTTCTATTTTAAAAGGGAAATCTCAGGGGTCTGTTTAGACCTCTAATATTTCCCAAAGCCCCTAAAAGTGAAGTAAAAAATAAAAAAATTTCCTCTGCAGGTCCGTGCGTTAATCACACAGTTCCGTGAGACTAACACGCAGTACCGTGCAATGAACCTACCATGTGTTAACAGTGCAGGAAGTGCATTGCATTGCCATTCATTTGAGCAACGGCACCACAACGCGTGGTCCCGCAATACAACAATAATATGTGTTGCAGTGCAGTTGACAAAAATAGTACATTCATTTTTTTTCAATCACAATGCACAGAATTGTGGTACCGCATGTTTGAGGCGTGGTTGATCGCATTGCAGGCAGGAGGTGCGTTTGGGGTGCCATTTAAATGAATGGCAACGCCACACACCTCCCACACTGTTAACACACAGTAGGTGCCTATTTGCCTTTAGTAAATCGGCCTCAATGACCTTGAACAAGATGATCTGACTCATATTTTAGCAGTATGTATTGTTGATCTAGGTAAATGACGGTATTGAAACACTTAGATCAGCATGGCAGCCAGTACAGGTTTCCTTCAAATATTGATCATGTATACTGCTTAGTTGGTGTAACCAGTGGCTCCTGAGCCTCCTGCGACTCTCAGCTAATTTGATGTTGCTTGTATGGTGAGGCAGGTGTTTAACGTTGCTTTTCAACACTTTAAACACCTGCCTCACCGTAGACTTCCTACAAACATGAAAGCAAGGAAGGCTGGTAATGTTATGTAATTCAAATGTTTAACAATATAATTAGCACTGGGCTTCAGAGTGCTACATTTTGTTATTTTGTGGTGAGTGCGGCTCACCACCATTAGTTCTATTATGTATGGAATGTGGCTCAGAAGCCAACGCTTGGGAAAATCTATTTGTAGACACCACATATCTCAGGACAGGAATGGAACATTAGGGCTGGACTTATTACAAAAATTAAAATATGTGGTCAACTATTTTTAAATATCTTACAAGTTTATATTCTATGGCTATAGAACATGAAGTGTCAAAGCAAAACTCCTGCTGAAAGAAGTAACTGTTGTGCATTTAAAGGGAATTTTAGTGGATATGTTTATATATATTCTTTATAAAAAATAAGATGACTTTGGACCCCACTCAAAATTCTGCAAATATAAGTAACACAACCTAGAGTCACTGAGTGCAAAAATTGACACTGTACAGCCAATATATACAGTATGTGCAGCTATAAAGGACATTTTTTATTAGTTTTAATTTCTCCTTTGGAATAAAGGATTTTAAAATAACCAAGGTACAACAATGGCCCCTCAAGGGCCCAAAGTGTAGGGTGCAATACACATTACAGAATAAATGAAATAACAAATATCCAATCTAGACCCGTACGGTGGCATTGAGAAATATAGGCTGGTATTTATATGTTTAATGCGGCGGAACTGTGGTAGTCACATATAGAGGCTCATATAGGTTGGTTTTGTAGCATATATTTTCTTCCTTTCTTTACTATGGCCAGAAATAAAGAATAACAAAAAAATATTTTGTTGGGTAAATAAATATCAAATATAAATATTCTTATATTCAGCCAGTAAGTGGGGCTCATGGCTTCTTTTAATTTGTAGTCCACTTTCTTCTTACATCCTGTAAAAAACAGTGTTTACAGAGCTCATTAGCTGAAGCTGAAATTTTCAATGTGAGTGTCAGAATTAGATGCAAATCAGGCTGTCTTTCATTTAGCAAAGTCTATGGAACAGTTTTCCATTGTATTTGTGACCCTTGTGTCTGTAATCAGAGACATATTTATCCCTGGAGATTAGATAGATTTTCACTCTAAACAGATACACAACTGAGAGGTGGTCAGAGACAGTGGCGTCACGAGGGGGGTTCGGGGGAGGGGTGACACCAAAATGACTGACAGTCATTTTGGTGTTACCCCCTCTGAAAAGTCGGGCACTTGGTCATGGACCGAGAGCACGACAGTTGCTCGAGAGAGAGGAGGGGACCTGGAAGCATACCTTATCCCGCCGGGTGAACGTCCCCTCCTCTCACTGCCGGCGTCCATCACAAGATGGCCGCCAGCAGGTAACAGTGGTACAGCGCCTGACGTCATCACGCATGTGTGTGATGATGTCACGCGTGTACGCGAATACGTCACTGCGGGGTGTCACCCGGTACACCTCTGTTCAGAGGTAGATTACATTCTGTCGCAGTGTTATTTTAGAGCATCCAAAGGATGAATTTGTAAATCAAGCCATAACTTTGTAGTAACCTATACCCCTGTAGTGAATCTGTTGCACACTCTATCCTACTGTTCCTCTTTAGCATTTCCTTGCTGTTCTCTGGGAATCCTATGTCATTATTATTATTATTATTATTATTATTATACAGGATTAATATAGCGCCAACAGTTTGTGCAGCGCTTTACAATATAAGGAAGACATTACAATCACAATACAATTCAAGACAAGATGGTAAGGAGGGCCATGCACGTAAGGTTACATTAAATGATTATTTACAAAGTAAACATAATATACTGACATAGTTTTTCTTTAATGTCACCTGCAATTCGACATATAATTGTTGCCCAAATGTTAATTTCCCCTCATAACTCAACTAACAACTGAGAAATACACACTTTTATGCTACCTGCAACAAAGGAATGCGCATAATTGCTGGGGTCTGCAGAAGTCCTATGACAAACACTTTCACCTCCTGCCCATGCTGCCTCTGCCACATGAACCTCATTCTGTTGGACAGATATCATAGGTAGAGTGGGCTGGAGATTAAAAAAAAAATGGGGGCAGAATATTGACATAAGATAACAGGAAATAAACTTGCACCTGGTGTGAGTCATATTTCCACATCCATGTTACTTTAAGGATTAGTTTGATTTTATT